ACACTTTTCTAGAATGGTCATCAATAAAAGTAACAAAATAAAGAGCACCTCCAAGAGTTCTAGTTTGCATAGTACAAACATCAGTATGAACTAAATCAATAACATCTGATCTTCTAGATGATGGATATGTCTGAAATGCAACTCTATATGTTTTTCCAGCTAAGCAATGATCACAAGATTTAAGAGATGTACCTTGCAACTCTGGTAAGAACTGCTTTCTAGCAAGAGTATGAAGTCCCTTCTCGCTGATATGTCCAAGCCTCTTATGCCAAAGATCTATACTTTCACCTTTTTGAATTGCATTAATCTCTCATTTATGTAGCTTAGCTTCTATGACATAAAAAGAGTTAATCTTCTTTCCTTTTGCCACAATTAAAGAATATTTAGTGAGTTTACATTTACTTTCACCAAAATAGTATGCAAAGCCCTCATCATCAAGTCTACCTGTAGATATTAAGTTAAGACAAATATCTGGAATATGCCTTACATCTTTGAGTATCAATTTGCTCCCAATACTGGTCTCCAAGCAAATATCTCCAATACCCACAATCTTAGATGTATCACTGATTCCCATTCTGACATTACCAAAATCACCAGCAGTGTAAGATCTAAAGAAATCACCATGAGAAGTGACATGAAATGAAGCACCAGAGTCAATTACCCAATTACTGTCCTGAGCTACAAGGCTAACACAACCTTCATCACAGACAATAGTGATATTACCTTCAGCAGCAATTGTATTGGTCTCTTTCTCATTTTTCTTCATTTCATTTTGTTCTCGCTTCCAAAACCTACACTCTTTCTTCATGTGACCTAGCCTGTTATAGTGAAAACATTTGATATCTCTTCTAGACTTAGATCTTCCTCTATAACCATGTGGATTTTTGCTATGACTTCTTCCACGCCTTTCTTGTTTTTCAGTAACAAATGCCCTAGAAGAAGATTCACCCTGTTCTTTCCTTCTAGCATCTTCATTTAGCAAACTGTCTTTAACCATATCAATAGTTAGAGTTCCCTCTGGTGTGGAGTTACAAATAGTCACCACATACGTTTCCCAACTTTTTGGTAAAGAGCTGAGAAGTAATAATCCCTGCATCTCATCATCTATATTCATTTTCATAGCAACCAACTTGTTTGCAAGACTCTGAAATAGGCTTATGTGCTCAACAATGTTACCACCATCTTTATACTTCAAATTTACAAGCCTTCTAAGGAGAGAAATTATATTTCCCACTGTCTTTTTCGCAAAGAGGTTTTCTAACCTTTGCCAAACAACATCAGCTCTGGTTTCATCAGAAATATGCTCATGCAAGTTTATATCCATCCATCTTCTAATATAGGCAATAGCTTTTCTATGTTGAACTTCCCATTCTTCATCGTCCATAGTAGAAGGTTTATCTTTAACTTTTATAGGCTTATACAAATCTTTGCAATATAGCAAATCTTCCATCATACGCCTCCAAGTGGAATAATTTGATGAGTTCAATTTAATCATACCATCAGACTCCATTTCAATCATACAAGAAAAACTAGCACCAACCAACCTGATGCTTTGATACCACTTGTTGGGAAGAAACATGTTAAAGCGGAATAATTCTTTCCCTCTTTGTGTATTAAAATAGGTTCCTCATCAAAATACCAACTTGATATCCAAATGAAAATATCAACCAGCACAGCATAAACAATAGAGCAAAAATCAATCACACAGTGAGACCAAATCTTTTTAACGTGGAAAACCCAATATGGGAAAAACCACGGGACCGTAGTCCACCTCAAACTTCCACTATCAATAATAATGATAATAGGTTTACAGTAGGTCTTCTCTAGAATAACTAGAGGATCAGAATAACATCAAGATCATATATCTTGGCTCAAGAATAGCATATCTTCATCATATAGGATGGATCTTCTCAAAAGAGAATTCTAGGTCTCACAGAGTGGATATCACAGGAAAGTACCTTAGAGAGGATAAACTGCAGATCAACACCGTTAAGATTATAGAGTTTGCTGCAAGGATTCTTCACATAAAATTTGGACCGAAACTATAACGTTTAGCCACCGATCGTTAAGCAAAAACTCAAAAACCTAATCTTTCTCTCTCTATTTCTCTCTTCTCTTTCCACTGCACGCTGCCGTAAGGTGCGATATGCAATCTGATCTATTTTCCTCACCTTCTCTCTCCTCTTTTTAATTTCTTTCATTTGCTGATTTGGGCTCAATAGGCCTAATTGTCCAAGCCCATATATGGACTGGACCCAACACAACATGGATCAAGGGCTATTCGAATACAATAATACAATGCCCCTATCACATTTATGCGATTGATGGATAATATTTTACATTTATATATTGATAACTTAATCATCATCCATCTCAATGACATTCTAATCTATAACCAATTGAGAGAAGAACTTATAAAAAAATAATCAAATTATGAGTTTAGAAACAAACTCTTATTTATTAAAAAATATTATAACTAGTGGGGCCTTAGTTGTTTCTCAATGACCAATTATTTTTTTCGATAACAAGATCATTTTGTAATTAGTGAGCCTCCCTGTAGATAAAAGGAAAATAAGAAGTTTTTATCGGAAAAAAAAAAAGGTGTTTTTCTCAAAAATTATCCTTTTTGTTTTAAATATTATTTAAGTTTTTCAATAAAAACATAGAAATAACGGTGATAAGAAAAATAGAACAGTTTTGGAAACCAAGCAACAATGATTGCTCGCTGAAACATTTGGGCTGTGTCACAATCTTTCCCTTTTTTTTGTTTTAATCTCTGCTTCTGTAGGGACGGATCACCTCCACCTCCTCCTGCTGCGGCTGCGATAGATGTCGGAAAGCAGAGCGCTAAAAAGAAGAACAAATTCCACACAGAAAAGCCTGTGAACAGTAAAAAGGAAAGGGAGGATGTTGGGCATCCCAAACAGCACCCGCAGCCCGCTACAGTGCCACGTTTCTTCCATAAAAGACCAGGATTATACCTTAACCAATAAGTATACTAATTATAAAAACATGTTAAGTTTGGCAATACTTTGAAGAGAAGTAAATGTACATCTTAACAGTGCATAAACAAGCATCAAAGACCTTCACCATAATTGATTAATGATTTGAGAAGGCACCAAACTCCATCATGTTCCCTCCGGCGAGGTACTGTGGCCAAGAGTACAGGAAAGAAGATTGACACATGCAGGCAGTGTGTGTGAATCGATACACCATTTCCTTCACCTCTCTCTTCCTCAGTCGATGGGAACCTCTCTCGATCTGGAATGGCATCTTGTAAGAGATGTGTGCGCTAGGATTCTTAATCCACATCAAATCACGTTTTATGATGCAGATGGGACATGGAAGGAGAAGAACGGAAATGGGTGTGTTGGCTGCGAGTACTCGGACGTGACTGTTGTGTTGGCGGAGAAAGCTAAACGTGGTACAACCGAGAGGAAGAAGCGAGAACTGGTGGAGATTACAATAACTACTGAACCAGAGACAAGAAGGAACCTGCAGTCGCTGCGGCCGCCGCGGCCGCTGCCTGTGCATTACCGCCGCCACCACCCACATCCTGCCTCTGGAAATGTATCGTATACTGCAACTTGCTGCTCTCGTCATCGTCGTCTTGGTCCAGATTTTCGCTGTCGGGGTCGTCTATCTCCTGCCTTTGTCTTTGCTCTATAGGATCCTTCACGATGTCTTCCGTCTTCAGATGCAATGATCTCCCACAAGTTATGGTTTGATCACAATTACATTACGAAGGATATGCTCGATGGATATGCCCTCCTTACCTTGTTCATTCCTTCTTCAAAGAAGCTTGGCGGATGCCCTCCATTGCTCGTTTGTGCTTGTTTCGAATTCCCACCATTTCTGTTGCTGTCGTTGCCGTTCTTGTATTTGGCCTCGGATGGAGTCTGCCGTTGGTGCTGCATCTGTACCACGTTGTCAGCCCTTTCTTGCGGAACTGGACTGCATTTGGGGTCTTGCTCCTGCTGCTGTTGGACTCCCACACTACCACGGCCGTCGCCGTCGCCGCCGCCGCGGCCGCCATGACCGAGCAGTTTCTTTCTATAGATTGCGTCCAATTGGTAGAAGTAGGGGCAGGTTTTGGAGTCCTCCGGGCGTTGCTTGCTGTTGTCCTTCACCTTCTTGAAGTACTTGTTGATGTTCTCCCACTTCTCCTTGCATCTCTTGGCACTCCGGCTGTATCCCAGCCGCTGCATATTGGCGGAGATCTCCTCCCACAGCGGAACCCTAGGACCTGCCTCCTGGTACCTCGACTCGAGCCCAGTCCACAGCTGGATTAGTGCATGGACCTCCGCCTTGGGCCATCTCGAGGAAGACGGTGGCTCGAAGCTGCCGCTGCCGAGAATGCCCTGATCAGTCTCCGAGCTGATCGGCACCGGCGGCTGCTTTGCCGATAAGGGCTGATACTGTTCGATATCGGTGCTTTGCGTATGATGATGCTGAAGTGGCTGTACCGGCACTGGCGGCTTCTGTTCCTGCGGTGTCTGCGCCTGTCGCGGCTGAGGTGGCGGTTGTGGAAGAGACGGAGCGTGCGACTGCAGCATAGTAGGCGGTCTGGTGGAGATGGCCGAGACGGTGGTGGTGGCTGCAGGCAATGGTTTAGATTGCCCGCTGATCTTTTGAAGGTAGGAAATTACTGCGGTGTCTCGGGACGCCGCCACGGCGCGCTCTTGGGCGAGCAACTCTTGCTCGCGGCTGAGCAGCGCCATCTCCTGGCGCCGCCACTCCTCCTCTCGAATCATTCGTTCATGTTCTCTCTTCTTGATTGCCTCCAAGAACTTCTGCTCCATGGCCTCCTGCCGTTCCATAACCTGCTTCATTATCGCCTCGGAAAAGTTCATTAGCTGCCGTCGAGCTCGCGAGCTCCTGCTGCGTTTCCTCTTCCGTCCTTCCTGGTTCTCACCGGCCTCTTCTGTATCCTCTTCGTCCGATTCCGTTGACGAGGAGGATGAATTCCACGGGAAGTTGATCCCGTTGGCGGCAGCAGCCGAGCTAGAGAATCCGTGTGGGCCGAGCTCAACGACGACCCTAGCTGGCGTCGGGATGGGCAGTGAGCCCACGGCCGAGATGGGTGAAGGTCGGATTCTGGCAGCCGGGGAACCCACCACGCCGGCGGTGAAGCTAGCCGGGGTCGGCTGGGAGACAGCCGCAGAGAGCGTGATGGCGCCGCCTCCGCTGCGGTTGTGGATGGCCTCGAGCTGGCTGAAGAAGTGGTAGGCCTTGCCGTCCTGTTGCCCGGCGCGGCCTTCCTTGGTGCGCTTGTAATACTTGTGTACATTCTCGAACTTCTCCTTGCACTTCTTTGAGCTCCTCTTGTAGCCCATCTCCGCCAGCTTCCTGCCCACCACCACCACCCGAACACAGCAGTTATCTAACAACAACTAAAAGAGAGGGAGTAAATAGGGAACAACATGAAGAAGATAGGAATATGTGATGAACCCCTCTCTCCCCCTCTCTGTCTCGCTATCCCTTTCTCCCCCCAAAGATCGATGCTCTGCATCAGTGGTGCAGCTGAAGTGGTCCCCTTGGTACGAATCCAATCATAGATCGTCAGATAGCAGAATTCTCCAATTAGCTCAGCTTTTTTCTAGACACCAGATGGTGAAGTAGAGATCCCAAGGAAACCGTAACGACTCTCTCTCTCTCTCTCTCTCTCTTTCACCACAATTATAGCACGAAAGGTCCCTCGTCTCTCGTTTAGTGGGACAAGGGAAGCATCACACGGAGAAAGTAGCAAGAGGAGAGAGAAGGAAAATAAGAGCTATAGGAACAGCAGGAGGGGTGGGAATTATGAAGAACGTAATGCCGCCTTACTTGGAGACGTCTTCCCAGAGAGGGCTCTTAAATGTGGCTCCTCGGAAGGCGACGTCCATCTCGGAGCGGATCTTCAGCAGCGCCAGCGTCTCTTTCCGCGGCCACCGGTTCCCGGGCACGCCGCTGGGCTCTGCCTCCTCGTTCCCGGCGACGGCTGGGGTTAGTTCATCTAAGTTGGCGGTGGCATCCGGCGGCGGCAGGCTGCTGATGGGGGAGGCAGCCTCGGCCGGCGGATGGAGGGGGTCAGTGCCGCCTGGAATTCGAAGCATGTCAGCTCTGGGACCGGTTGCAGCGGCCTCCTGCTGCTGCTGCTGTAGTAGTAATTGTTGCTGCATGGTTGTGGGAACTGTTTTCTCTTTCAGCTCTCAAAAGGATTTAAGGCAATTACCATCAATTGCTCTCTTTCTGGAATACTAGGAATTGTGTTTGTTCCCTCTTCCTCTCTTCCCCCTCCGTGCAGGAATCAGAAATAGAAAAAGGAATTCAGTGCAACTGGAAAGATGGAAACATGGACAACTGGAAAGAGAGAAAGATAGAGAGAGGAGGTAATGAAAGAGAATTTTTTAGATGGATATGTAACTAAAACGAAAGAATACTAATACATATACAGGAGATGAGGGTGAGGGTGAAAGGAAGGGAAGAAACGGTAGAAAAGGGAAGATTGGATAGAACAGATGAATCGAGTGAGAAAGAAAGAGATAGAGAAGGGGAGAAGATGATGAAACAAACAAGAAGCTGCGCTGTCAAGTGGGCTTACTTTTGCTGCCTTAGAATAATTAAATCCGAGAGGACAAATAGAATATATATATAGAGAGAAAGAAAGATTGCAAGAGAGATAAAGAAGTAAGAAGGGGGGAGAGTTGAGGCAGATAGAGAAAGAAGAAAGAGAAGGAACGTCGTCACGTCTGTCGTCATGTCTTGTTGCTGTCGCAGTCCCGAGTATATCTTGTAGTGAGTTTTTGCGTTGCTTCCCTATGTTTGGTAAAAGTAATTAAACAAGTACAGAACTGATGGACTCTCTAAAACTACATTAACATCTCATTTGAGCTTATTGAGAGGAGAATTGAGGTTTGGAAAGATTTTCACGCAGATATTTTAGATCAATTATTCAATAAATAAAGAGATCATTATTAAAACATGATTTGTATATAATTTATTAGATCATCGTAAGATTATAAAATCAAAACTCATCTTCATCACACACATAACAAAAAAGAGATTAAAGTAAAAGAAATATATTAAAAATTTTACATGACATCAAGTCCATCTGAGACTGGAGGAAAAATTTTAGTAGGCTAACTTTATTTTCTCAATCCGAGTGTTGGATGTGTGAAGTCCTTAAAAAGTTAAAAACTAATATTTTTATTTATGAGTAATTAGGTATAATACAATGGTTAGAAAGAGAAAAAGAAATATCTATGTTGAGATTATAAAGGATATTGATTTATAGTGATTTTAATGGAGATAAAAAAAATGCATGCAACATATCCCAATTCGTTGAGACATTTCAACTTGTTATTATTGTGTATCCGAAGATTAACAATTCATTTATAATTTACTAATTTTATGCACATATGTTGTTTTTAAGAGATTCTAATATAAATGAAAGTAATGAAGAATTAGATGGTGAAAAGGGGTGAGAGGGTGGAATAGGTACCGTGAGGGGGAGAAAATAAAAAAGAAAGGCAGGGGGAGACAAGCGCGCATTGTCACAGCTGTGCATTGGGTCCCACAAGGGAGAGTTACAACGTGCCGGGTCCAATTCAGTCCCCACAAAAATAAACACCCTACACATTCTGCCATGTTACAACTCTCTCTCACTCTCTCAAGCTTAGCCAGCTAATATAAGACTATCATTCTTTATGCCAAAGCTACAAAGAGAGAGAGAGAGAGAGAGAGAATGAAAAGAAAACCTAATCACTTGTGCCCGCAAGATTCAACTTTTCCCAAGTCATAAAAAACAAGGTGCAATCCAGTTCGGTAGAGGGAGGAAGGAATCTTTGTTCATGTGTCTGATGCCTCCCTCCTCTTCCTAGTAATAAATAATAATAACCTTGGAGAATAAATAAACCCTTTAGACTTGGATTTGGATAACTTCTCTTTTTTCTTTGTCCATGGGGTTAGTTATTTTATAATTATAAACCTTAAGCTAATTAACAATGGTGAAGAAAACTAAAATTCAAGGATTATGTTAATAAAGCTAGGGTGCTGATTGATGTGTCAGCGATGCTCCTAATCCTTACTTGATCATCTAACTCATCGTCACAATTAATCTGTGCCATTTCTCTTCTTTAGATTCTACTGGTCAGCTTATTATCTTGTGACTTAGAAGTAAGTATATGTTAGAGCTGGCTCAAGAAATTTACCAAAAGGGTAATTTGACAACCCAAATAAAAAACAATATAGCAGAAATAATAAAAGTGACAAGAACACCAGATTTACGTGATTCGGTCAATTTACCTACATTCACGAACGAAGGAGCAAATCACTACTATAAAAGAGGGACTATTACAAATACCTTAGGAAGATATTCCTAGGCGATAAAACATGAAATTACTAAACAAGAAAAGCATAAAGCAAACAATTAGGTTTTCTTATGGTGCATATGACTTCAAAGCTCAGGCCCTTATTTATAGTTTAAACAGGAGATACCAAACTTGATTTTCTTGATGTGGGACTATGTGAGACTATGTGAGACTTGCCAAACTAACAAATCTCCACCTTGGCATGTCCCAACAAAACTTGCTTCACCTTCTTCCCAAAAGCCCTAACGGGCAATCACTAATAATGAACACCAACCAAGTCCAAGCACTGCTTGAACTTGTAAACTGGAAGAGGCTTCGTAAGCATATCAGTTGGATTGTCCTTCGTATGAATTTTTGAACAAGGATCTTTCCGTCAGCAATAGTATCTCATTTGCATCCAACAATTTTCTTACCCGAAGGCGACTTCACAAGATCCCAAGTTCTATTCTGATGGAGAGATTCTATTTCTTCATTCATCGTAATCAACCACTTAGCGGAATTATCATAAGAAACTGCATCTGAGTAGGTAGTAGTCTCACCAACTTTACTTGTTTCTTCTGCAACAGCAACAGACAAAGCATATGCAACTAAATTTGCATATTTTGTGGTGGTCGAATATCTCTCCGTGGTCTATTCTTAGCTATGGAATATTACTCTTCCTCTAGGTCATCTTTGTTAATAGATTCGAGACCATCTACTGGCATTCTTTAAGTAGAAGAGTTTAACTTAAAAGAATCTGAACTACCAATCTCAAGCTCCACCTGCTTCTGCGCACTGTCATTTATATAACTAGTAGATGCCACTTTAGAAGATAACATAGACAATTTATCAAAAGTAACATCTCTACTGATTATAAATTTTGGAGATTTGAGATCAGAACACCATAATCTATATCCTTTCACCCCAGAAGCATACCCAAGGAAAATACACTTTTTAGCTCGAGGCTCTAATTTTCCTTCAGTTACATGCATGTATGCTGGACACCCAAATATTTTTAAATCAAAGTAATCAGTAGGAGTACCTGACCAAACTTCCTCCAGAGTTTTAAAGTTAAGTACTGTAGAAGGAGCGCGGTTGACAACGTAACAGGCCATATTAATTGCCTCTGCCCAAAAGTCCTTTGTCAACTCTACATTTGAGATCATACACCTTGCTCTCTCCAAGAGTGTTCTATTCATACATTCAGCCATACCATTTTGCTGAGGCATCATCCTAACAGTGCGATGCCGAACAATTTTATCATTTTTGCAGAATTCATCAAAGTTACCTTCACAAAATTTCATGCCATTATCTGTTCGAAGCCGCTTAATCTGTTTACCTATTTGCTTCTCAATCAAAGCCTTCCATTGTTTAAAGGTTAGAAAAATATCATTTTTATGCTTCAGAAAATAAATCCAAACTTTCCTGGAATAATCGTCAATGAAAGTCAACATATACCTAGCACCACCCTTAGACTGAACATAAGTTGGACCCCAAAGGTCTGAATGAATATAGTCAAGAGTACCTTTCATTTTGTGAACTGTCGGAGAATTGAAGCTGACTCTTTTCTGCTTTCTAAAAATACAGTGTTATAAAAAATCCAGTGGCCCAGTACTTTGTCTGCAAAGAAGACCTCTTTTGCTCAATATGCTTAAACCTTTTTCGCTCATATGACCCAAACGCATATGTCATAATTTGGTGATGTCAGAATCAGACAATGATGATGACGAGACTGCAATTGAGTCTGTGATAGTAGTTCCCTGCAAAATATATAAGCTACTAGACCTACAAGCTTTCATAACAATAAGGGCACTTCTAGAAATTTTCATAACTCCACCTTCAACTGCGTATTTATACCCAAGAACCTCTATAGTGCCTAAAGAGATAAGATTCTTTTTTAAATCAAGAACATGTTTAACATTAGTGAGCGTCCTCGCAATACCATCATGCATTTTAATTCGGATTGTGCCTCTACCAACAACATCACACATGATATTATTGCCCATCAAAATAATTCCACCATTATAAGATTCATATGTGGAAAATAAATCTCTATTAGGACACATGTGATAAGAACAACCCGAATCTAAAATCTATTCATTTTTAGATCTCGTCCTGTCATCAGTAGCAAAGAAAATATTTTCAACATTCTCATCAACTACAATACTAGCTTTAGCAGACTCAGTAGTTTTCTCAATAATTTTTCCCTTTTGCTTTAATTTATTTTTCAATTTAAAGCAATCAGCCTTAATGTGCCCCATTTTATGACAATATTTGCACTCCAAATTTCTATGTTTGGATTTAGATTTAGATTTAGATCTACTACTGTCAAATTTTCTTTTATCCGTTCTACCCCTGATAATCAGACCTTCAGCCTGATTCCCTCTACTTTCCCCGATATCCCTATCTATCTGTTTCTTAGATTTTAGTGTAGATTTAATTTCCTGATACGAAATTGTTTCTTTTCCATAAATCATAGTATCATGGAAATACTTAAAGGATTGGGGAAGAGAACACAAAAGTAACAGGGCCTTATCCTCGTCATCAATTTTTGCATCTATATTCTCCAAATCTATAACTAAGAAATCAAATTTATCAAGATGCGAGAGTATAGATGTACCTTCAGTCATCCGAAGCATAGACAAACTCTGCTTCAAGTAGAGACGATTCTCCACTATCATCTTTATATACAAGGCTTTAAGTTTGTCCCACATGCTCTTAGCCTTAGTCTCCATAGCTACCTCCCGTAAAACATCGTCAGAGAGATTTAGAATAATGCTTGATCGGGCCTTCTTATCCATACTCGTAAAATCTTCCTTTGACGCAACATCTGGAATGTTCTCAGGTCCCTATAGTGCCAAATCAACTTCGTCTTGAACCAGAATGGCCTCGATCTTGAGTTGCCACATGCCGAAGTTGACATTTCTATCGAATTTCTCGATAACGATCTTTGTTATTATTATTGTTACCAAAAGATCCCGAAACTAGGCTTTGATACCAGTTTGTTAAAGCTGGCCCTAAAAAATTTACCAAAAGGGTAATTTGACAACCTAAATAAAAGATAATAAAGCAGAAATAATAAAAGCGACAAGAATACCAGATTTACGTAGTTCGATCAATTGACCTACATCCATGGATAAAGGAGGAGTAAATCACTACTATAAAAGAGGGACTATTACAAATGTCTTAGGAAGATGTTCCTAGGTCATAAAACACGAAACTACTAAACAAAAAAAAAGCCTAAAGCAAATA